ACTATAAAATTTTTACCTAAAATTGTATGTTTAGTTTGACCTATTGTCTTTGATGATCCATTCAATAGTCATATGTATCATATATAAACTAAAATAATATCAAATTGCAAGAGTAACATCTAATTCTTCAATGAAAATTCTCAAATTTGTAACACCATCAATAGCTTTTTTTTTTCTTTCTTTCTTAGTCTTTGTGGAAAAAGGTGGAAACAAAATACACAAGAGTTTGCCCTTTAGAAGTATAATGTGGAAAGTAAACTATAACTTGAAAGTATCATGAAGAAATTCATAAAAAGAAATGAGAGGAGGATAAAAGTATTGAACTGTCCTAACACTGACAAAGGCAGGAAGACTACAGTGCTTCATTGTACACAGCTTATGGACGCTTACAATTATGCTAACTGTGCATAGTGATGTTTCAGTTTGGTTGACTTTCCAGTTCTCATTTACTTGGATATTTTGGGACAAACATGCCTTTAAAAGATGTACTAGAATCAACACTGGTGTGCCATTTTTTGTTGTTCTTAATGTGTAGGTAAATAACTACCTTTCTGTGTCCTATTATGTGTACTATTGTGAAAGAGAAATTCAAATGCTTAATTGGCTCTTATGAAACCTGTATAGGACTCAAAAGGTATTCAATCAAATTGTGGTATTGGTGAAGAATGATAATATGCTATAAACTTCCAGAAGAATAACCATTGTTTTGTTTTGATCTTTTTTTCTGAGAAAAAAATTACAGCCAGAATACACCTTAAAAGTAAAAAGGACACTGTATTGCCCCCACTTAATTTGGACACATCATCAAGAAAAATTACTAACTAGTGAAAAGATATTATGGTGAGTGGTAGGACATGGTTAGACTGCGGTGAGAAAACATTCAATGAGGTGGATTGACACAATGCCACGAGAATGAACTCAAACAGAAGTGTTAGTATGGCACAAGATCATGCAATGCTTTGTTCTGTTATACATAAGGTCTGTATGATTTTGGAGTCTCATCAGTAGTAATTAACAATGATGATAACAGATAATAAAATGAAAGTTTTAGAAGCTTGCCCTCTGCAGTCAAAAACAGAAAACACTAAAACAAACATCAACAACAAATGGGGTTTGAGTCTTAGGTCCTTCATTTAGAAAGCAAGATACTGAAATGGTACTGTATAAGCATAATGAAACTCATGCATTCAAAATCCTTAGAAAAGTACTGAGCACAAACTAAATGCTCTGTATTATTACAATAATCACTAAAAACAAAATACTGGCAGTCAATCATCTATTACGTAAATATACTACAATCACTTCTAATATATTGACTTGATACTACATAAATTAAGGCAGGTACATAATTGGGAAGGAGGATGGAGAAAGAAAGTGAAAATATGTATACAAAAATCAGAAAGAATTTTAAGGTCTATAACCCCAAAATAGCTGCATATTAAAATAATTTTGAGGACTACCCATTGACAAAAGCAAAATACTAATACAAAAACAGAATTATAGTGAAATTTTAATTAGTAGTTTAGATGTAAAAACTACATAAGCAATTAAAACATGAATATCCAAAGCAGTATCTCTAGGTAACTTGGTGTCTGTGAAATAAATATATTGTTTACATACTGAGGCTTTATTTCTGTCTCTTGTAGCCTTTCCATTTTTGTTGCTGGTGAAATAATGCAGGGCTCCATATTCCATCAAGGCTGCAAAAACGAAAATGAAACAAACAGAAACAAAGAGATCCATCGCAGTCACGTAAGAAACCTTAGGCAATGACTTCCTGGCAATTGTACTCAAGGTTGTCATGGTCAGGACGGTCGTGATACCTGTGGAGAGATGGGAAGCTGATAAATAACAAGCCATTTCAGATGAGAAATAACTAGCAATTTAAGAGACCACTTTTTTTCCTTGCACCTGATTTTGCAATGTTGTGTGGGGAAATAAACAATGGAAACAAAAGGATTTGATTACTAGTGATTTACAGAACGAATTACTGGTAACCATAGCTACATTATATCCCATGTCCTCTTTGTATCTCTTTGTGAATTTTAAACATCTAAATAACTGTGGACTGCAAAATGTCTCCCAATGATGATCCTTCCTTTCCTCCATAGTGGTAGAATCTCCAACATTTATTTGATACTTAACTGTGTAGAAAAGCATTTTTATCAGGCATCTTCCTTCAAGCGCTCTATGAGAAGATAAATCAAAGTGGGCAAGGAAGAAGTAAATAATGTCCATAAGGGAACATCAGTGAGACAGGAAATTATTCCTTCCCTTTCCCTTGTTTCGTCCTAACAGAACTCAATGGCTAGAACACCAGGAACCATCTTGGACCAGTAGGTGGTTAGAAAATTGAAGTCATGCAAGACATGTAAAAAGCTAGGAGTCTGGGTACTGCACACCGATATCACTTCTGGATTTTACATAAGAAATAAATACACCTAAATCTATTTAAAGCTACAGGCTTTCTATTGATATGTTCAAGTAAAATCCTTGCACCCACATTACTTTTATAACTACCTGGTGTGATAAATAAATACAGATTAAATTGTTATGATGAATTTAAACAAATGGAGGCAAACTTTGGTTAAATCTCCAAATCCTTCCCCTATTAGTTCTGTGACTTTGGAGAGTTTTCTTGCCTGTTCTTTACCAATCGTCTAACAATAGGTGCCATCCAGTCAATTGTGACTCAGATGAACCTGTATCTGAGCATAACTGCTGGGCAATGTTTTCTTGGCTGCATCTTTATGTGATCAGATCTACAGCGCTTTCTCCCACAGACCCTCTCGGTGGTTTCAGAATGTCAGCAGTGTGATTAGCAGTGGAACACTAAGCCATTTGTGCCACCAGGAATCCTTGACTCATTAATTGCCACTAAGCCAATTCTGACTCAAAGTGATCCCTTAGGACAAAGTAGAATTGGGCCTGAGGGTGTTGAAGATGATACATCTTTATGGAAGTAGGAAGGCTGCTCTTTCTCCCATGAAGTTGCTGGTGGTTTAGAACTGCTGATCTCTGGTTAGCTGCCCATCATGTAACCCACTACACTACCAAGGTTCCTACAACTTCTTTGGGCAGCCTATGGTACTTTCAGTATTCTTTGCAAGCACCACAATTCGAATGCATTAATTCTTCAGTGATCTTCATTATTTGATGTCCAATTTTTACATGCGTACAAGGCAAATGAAATTACGATGACTGGGGCCAGGAGCACATTAGTATTCAAAGTAACATCTGTGCTTTTCAACACTTTCAAAAGGTCTTGCATGGCAATATTACTCAGTGCAATGTGTCATTTGGTCATTTGACTGCCTCTTCCATATGCACATATCCACTGACTGTGGATCCAAGCTGTGAGAAAGAGTTGCCAAGCTGGCCAATTTTCATCAACCATAAAGCAAAGAGCCAGGTAGTTACCAGGGCACCAAAGGATAACCCTCCAACAAATCACTAAAGCTCAGGCACCTGGGGTGTGGAATGTGGGAATCCGATAAATTAAGAAAGTGAAGGTGGGCCACAGGGCAGGTGGGAGTGGGGGCTAGAGACTCTTCAGGTGACGTTCAGGAAAGATTGTTACTTTCATAGAACTCAGTCAATGCGGAACCAAAGGTGGGGGCTTGAGAACTAAGGCATAAAATGCAGAAGTGTTTGTGAGGCACGTCCCCTTTTTGGCCCCATTTTCTTGGGCCCTGGGGGTCTGATTTTGCTAAATCGAGCAATAAAGCCCCGTCTCTAACTAAAGTAAGTACAGATTGGGCTTCTTGAACATTTATTGGTTAAAATCCCATGATGGCCCATTGATAAGTGTATATGGGATAAGGCAGCCCTTGACGCCAGTTTGCCCTGGAGACACCCCCATCAGGGTATGGCCCAGATTAGGGTTTTATACTAATCTGAGAGTTACCAAGAGGAACAAATATGGTGTCCAGAGTTTGGACAATATTTCTCACAAAGTAAGATAAAATCCTTGATGACTTCCATTTAACAACAATGTTCACTTGTGAGAATTTTGGTGTTCTTTACATTGAGTTGACATCCATACTGAAGGCTAATTCTTGATCTTCATCAACAAGTGCTTCAAATCCTCTTCTCTTTAAGCCAACAAGGCTGTGTCCTCTGCAATTGCATCTTATTAATAAACCTTCTTCTGATTCTGTCCTTTCTATAATTTCAGCTCAGATGATTCGCTCACCATGCAGATTAAGTATGATGAGAGGATACAACTCTGATGCACACCTTTCCTGATTTCAAATCTTTCCATGACAATGGCTACACAGACCCCACAGGAAAAAATTCATGTTTAAAGGGCTTAGCAAATGAGTTAACAGGTTTAATGTCAGTGAGAAATTCTCAAGGTAGTTGTTTATCAGGGCATATTGCAAAGTTCTCTCAGGTCGGCTAATAAATGCACAAAGGGTGTGTTGGGAGCCTGGACCAAAGCCACTCAGCTCTAGCTCTGTGGGCTGACAAACCCAGCTGCAGAAAGCCTCAGCCAAAAGGCACTCAGGTCTACTCCCAAGGGTCAGCACGGCCAGTTTCCCAAATATGTGCACAGAGCACTCACTCCACAAGCCAGCCTCCTGCACCAAGGCACTCACATTTACTTGCTCCATGGGTTGGGAAGTTCACCATTCTGTTCAATTTCTGGTTTCTCATTCTCCGGTCCAGAGGACAGCTTTCACCCCAAGACCCTGATGCTAATGAGATCCCACCTTCTTTTTTTTTAACCCCATCTTTTTTTTTTCTTTTTCTGGAATATGGCTTTTTAATGAATGTTTGCCCTAGAGAACATTTTGTGTAGGCCCTTTTCTCCTAAGTTACATTTTCTTCCTGTTTTAAAAAAATTTTGTTGGGGGCTCATACATTTCTTATCACAATCCATACAGACATCCATTGTGTCAAGCACATTTGTACATTTGTTGCCATCATTATTTTCAAAACAATTTCTTTCTACTTGAGCCATTGGTATCAGCTTCTCATTGCTCCCCTCCCTCCCTTACCCTCCCTCCCTCATGAACCCTTGACAATTTATAAATTATTATTATTGTTTCATGTCTAACACTGACCAATGTCTCCCTTCACTGACTTTTCAGTTATCTTCTCCCTTGGAAGGGGTTATATGTAGATCATTGTAATCAGTTCCCCCTTTCTCCCCCCACTCTTCCCCTTACCCTCCTGGTATGGCTACTCTCAATATTGGTCCTGAGGGGTTTATCTGTCCTAGATTTCCTGTGTTTCCAGCTCTTATCTATACCTGTGTACATCCTCTCGTCTAGCCAAATTTGTAAGGTAAAATTAGGGTCATGATAGTGGGGGGTGAAGCTTTAAAGAAGTAGTGGAATGTTACACCCTGACTGACTCATCTCCTCCCCGCAATCCTTCTGTAAGGAATGTCCAGTTGCCTAGAGACAGACTTTAGCTCTTCACTCCACACTCCCCCTCATTCACAATGATAAGATTTTTTTTGTTCTTTGATGCCTGATATCTGATCCCATAGATACCTTGTGATCACACAGGCTGGTGTGCTTATTCCATGTGGGCTTTGTTGCTTCTGAGTTAGATAGCCACTTGTTTATCTTCAAGCCTTTAAGGACACAGACACTATATATTTTGATAGCTGAGCATTATCAGCTTTTTTCACCACATTTGCTTATGTACCCACTTTGTATTCAGCGATCATGTCAGGAAGGTTAGCATCAGGGAATGCCAGGTTAATAGAACAAAGTGTTCTTGCATTGAGTACTTGAGTGGAGGCCCAACGTGTATCTGCTACATTAATATTTAACATATAAATATATGTACATAGATCTATTTCCCCATTATCATATATAAATATATTTACTGCATATGGACATACCTGTATTTAGATCTCTGTATATCCCCTTTGCCTTCTAGTTTTTTCCTCTACTTCCTTTTACTTTCCTCTTGTCCTACTATCATGTTCAGCCTTTATTTGGGTTTCAGTAATTCCTCTCAGTTACATTGCCCTTCATCAACCCTACCAGGTCTCCTATACCTTCTTTGCCATCAATGTTAGATCACTTGTTGTTCCCTTGTCCCTGGGTTTGTTAACACCCACTTCTTTATCCCATCTCCCCTCTCCCATGTCCCCCAGGAACCATCAGCTCCGTTGTTTTCTCCTCTGGATTGCTTATCCTGCCTATCTTATTTAAATACACATGCAGAGATAATAATATGCACAAAAATCCCACCTTCTACTTTTCAGAGGGCTCATTTTGAATGCAACTGGATGGCATTAGAGGGACTCTGTTCACAATTACTCCCAAGTAAATTCTATCAGTACTGTCCCCCTTCTTCCCATCCATCTGCAGGAAAATATCCTTTGGTGGGAGTTGGGACTTTGTCTAGAAGAACCACATTAAATAATTTACTGTCCCTGAACCCAGCATAGATGTAGAATGGCAAGGGAGTAATAGTTTGTGCATATGATAATGATTAGATAGAGTTTGGAGAAATGTCTTCCCTGCCTCTTGGCAATAGGGAAATCAGAGGAGGTCAGATACGTCCATCTCCATTGCTGTTTATTGCAGAAGTAATGTCCTACAAAGATTTACTTAAAACAATTCCTGATCACCTCTATGAATTAATCTTATTTTGACCATGAACTAATCATCTCTAACCACAGATGTCTTCTTTCTGAAGCTCAGGCATGACATGACAATAAGCGATCCAGCTTAGAATATCTGCACTTGCATTGCCACTTCCTGAACTAACTTTCCTCTAGATAGCCACCTGTGGCTTGTCCCAGCCATCATTCAGGTCTTTGTCAAATGCTACTTCCTCAAATAGTGTTTTCTCATTTCACAATATGAAATAACATTCATCACATCTACCCACATCCCTTGCCATTCTTCACATTTATTTCCATTTCTTTTCATAGACTCTGTTCTTTGCTGACATATTATTAAGTTCTTTATACATTTGTATATTACCTGTGTCCCCCACAAAAATTGTGCCATGCAAATCTTTTGTTTACTGTTAGCACTACAGCCCCTATAACACTGCTCAATACAAATAAATCATTTGATAATTTCTGTTTCAAAGGGAATGTTCAATAAACGAACAGGATAATATCCTGCAATGAGTTGTGTATATGTATGAATGCGGAGTTCTAGTGGACTGTGATACCCACAGTCCGCAGTTGGAAACCAGCAGCCGCTCTGCAGGAGAAAGGTGGGGCTTGTACTCCAGTGAAGAGTTACGGTGTCTGAAATTCACAGGGGAGGTTGTACCCTGTCTTATAGGGTTGTTGTCCGTCAACATAAACTCAGTGACAATTAATTTGGTTTGGTTGCTGTATAAATACACACACAATTTGGAATTCATATGTCAGAGTATGTTTCTCAGGTGGCTTCTAACCTCAAGCTCAGCGGTTGAAAACTACCAGTCACCTTGTGAGAGGAAAGCGAAGCACTATTCGCCTAAAGATTTAGTTTCAGAAAACTACAGTGGGTTTTCATAAAACTCACTAAACACACTACTATCCAGTTGAGGCTTACTCCTGTTTACCCTATAGAACAGGGTAGAACTGCTTCATATTACGTAGTTTCCAAGACGGTGACTCTTTACGGGAGTAGAAAGCACGTTCTTTCTCCCATGGACTGGCTGGTGGTTTCAAACTTGTGACCTTGCAGTTAGCAGCTCAAAGTGTTATAACCACCGTGACACCAGAACCCTGGTGTACTATAGCATCACTATAAGTTAGAATCAACTTACTGGTTTTCCAACTACATGGGACAAATAATTATGATCATTCTCAAGTTAGAAAAGGCTGCAGCTTATCTTTGAATATGACATGCTTATAACTTAGAATAGTAAAAGTTTAATAGAAACAAAATTATTCCATAGTTGGAGTTTCTCTTTCATTACATTCTGTCATTTGGTAAAAAAAAAAAAAAAGTAAAAGTAATTGTCCAAATTATCTTTGTAATCATATTGAAATTAAAATCTAATATTTGCATCATACCCATAGTAGCAGACTAAGAATATAAAATAAAATATATACTTAGGGGCAGAATGCAATTTCAAGTAACTACATGAAGCCAAACAAAATTATGAATGGATTTTTCTCATTAGGTATCTACACACCTCTGTGTAGATTCCCAAATGAATTGTATTTGTAAATGTAGAGCTAGGTGCCTTGGGCCTTATCCTTGACATTCTTATGTGATTTGCATTTTACTATATTTAGTTAATGAAATTATTCATCCAAGATCCTAGAAAACACATGAAATACGATTTATGGTTGAAAACATCCTGTCTCAATTTTCTTTATGTTTTATACAATTATGTCTTCTGGAAGACACAATAACAGGTAGTTTGTTAATAAATATTTTTCCTTTGTATATCAATAACATAAAGATAATTTGTCATTTTCCTTTAAATATGTATAATAAGTAGTCACTTATTTTCCTATCTGATTTTATATATTGGAATAGATCACTAGAGAAACACATTGTTTATTTCAACAAGTATGAATTACAATTACCTTCTAATCTATGTCACTGAACAAGGGAAATTAAAATAGTCACACAAAAATTATATAATTTATGGATTGCAGAAACTCAGGAGCTTTTAGTTTCTTTCAACAACCCGCCCTTTAGAACAATTGGCTACTAATTTGCACCAATATAAGAGCAAGTGATTTTAAATGTATACCACTCAACAAATGCTACTTAAAAGTGATCTGGCCAGAATAGGAAATAGAAAAAAGTCAAATATTCAACAAAATAAAAGTCTGGATTATGGATGATTTTCCTGTACTAATTCTTTCTGTGAGTCTTTACTTCCCTTGACCTCCAAGATAAAGCATGTTCTAAAATGTCAACATCTTTGTAATTTTTTTTTCATATTTACTTTTTACATACTCCTTTCAATGTGGTGGGAAAACAATGGGGTTTTCTACTCCCACAAAGAGTTACAATCTTGGAAACTCACTGGGGCAGTTCTACCTGTCAGATTGGCTTTCATTTGATGGCAGTGAGTTTCATTTTGAGGTTCAGTGTAGAATTAAATAAGTCACGTTTGACTTATTATAGATAGTATTCTGGAATATTTGTAACATATTCAACTTTTATATGGCATACACTTTTATTAAACTAAATTATTTTGAAATGCTTTTTATACATTAGCATGATAGCATATGCCATACCTAGGGAGGTTCTCGCAGGAACTGCATCTTTATTGATCCAAAAAGACACCCAAGAAAGAACAACCGTCAGGATACAAGGAATGTAGGTCTGAATCGTGAAATATCCCATCCGTCTGCTCAAGTGAAAAAAAATGGTCATAATAATGTAATCCCCTGGGGGGAAAAACAGCAACACAATATGTTATATTTTGGCTATCAAACTTATAAAAGTATAGAATACAATCACAGATTTAAATGCTCCTTACCAGATATTGTATGAGAGATTTCAGTTGAGTTCCTTAACCCTACAAATGCAAATTGATATAATCTCCAGTATTTAGGATCAGCCACTTCTACAGAAGGCTTTTTCCATTTATACTGAATTTCATTTTTAGGGTATCCATCTAGAGGAAAAAATAATTAAAAACATAGGTACTAGAAAAACTTAAAATAATTATTTTAAATAAAATATTTTAATACAGGTCATGAATACCTTTAAAAAATTGAAAATTACAATATCAGATTTATCAAAAGATACTCTCTGAACTTGTTAAATTTTAAATTAACAACATAGAAAATTAAAAATGCACTTACATGAAGAAAGAGCATTTTCAGCACCGAGCATATGTGTCTACACCACTATATTTCTCCTCCTAACTAAAGGAAACTACTACCCATGTGTGATAAACTTTCACTTAATTTTTGTTGTTATTTAGTATTTGTTTGCTATGGATTCTCCTATGTATATATATGAGAAGACAATTTCATTTGTACTGTGTTTATATGATTTCATTTGTATCATACTGTTTACATTCTTTTGCATAGTCTTTTGTTTGCTTATAAAAGTCGTCTATGCAGCTGCAAGTTACCATGAGTATATTTCATTATAAAAATGAGGACCTAATGCCAGGGGCTTAAGTCGAGAGGAAACATTGTGAGAATGATGAGGGCAATGAATGTACAAATGTGCTTTACACAATTGATGTATATATGGATTGTGATAAGAGTTGTATGAGCCCCTAATAAAATGACTAAATATATATATGTACAGTGAACCCTCGCCACTTCGCGCTTCGACTTCCGCGGCTTCACTCTATCGCGGTTTTTGTGTAACAGCGCATGCTCTGTCATTACTGCCACTGATTGGCTCCTACTGTACACGCTTGATGCCATAAATAATATAATAAATAATAAATGATCATTGTAACGTCCAAAATGTTTTACTGTATTTTCCCTTTTTCGTTTAATAAATTGGGCAATACGAGTGTAATGGTGACTAAAGAGTGTTTTTTCATGTCCTCTATGCTCTAACTACGAAAATATTTGATTTTCAAATAAGGAATCCTACTTCGCAGAATTTCATTTATCACAGTAGGGTCTAGAACCGATGAACCGCGATAAACGAGGGTTCACTGTATATGTATATATTTGTTTGTTTTACTGTTGAAGACATTCGGGATGATTCCTGTTAGCTATTCCTCCCTTCGTTGCTAGTGATATCATTATTCATGACTGAGGACACATACCTGAAAGAGTTCTCTAGGGTATACATACTGCAGTGAAGAATTGTTGTGCCCAATCTGTTACATATCTTATGAAATATTGCAAGTCTTTTTCCCCCAAAGTAAGTATAACAGTGGATTCTATTGTCAGACAATGTGAAAATTCACATGAATCCATGTTCTCAAAAGAACTCGGTATGAACAATCTTTTTCATTTTTACAAGTCTGTTTATTTCACACTTTCCTGATAACGAATGAATCTAAGCATTTTTCAAATGTTTACTAGGTGTGATGTTTCTTCTTTGAGGATTTATTTGTTCAGTTGTCCGTTATTCTATTGACTCTTTTTCATATGAACTTCTTATATATTACAGATCATAGTCCTTCATGTCATTTGAGTTGAAAATACATTTGCCTGATCGATGTGGTCTAGAACAGAGGTGTGTTGCTTTAAAGATAATTTGGGTTTTGTCCCTCCTGCATGATAGGGAAGTCCCTGAACCATTTTCAACCAACTTATGAAGGAAATTTGGACTGTACATTCAGATTCAAGCAGGTCTGTGATTACATTGGCTCAAAAACCGTTATTTCAATCTGGTATGTTTGGCACAGCGGTCAAATAATGGCTGCTAATTAAAAAAAAGTTGGCAGCTCAAACCTATCATGCTGCTCCATTAGAGAAAGCTTCAGTGAAGATTACTGCACAGAAAATACTTACCTACTACATGTTTGAGTTCAAAGTCAACTTGAGACCAACTTGAGTCAACTCAAAGTCAACTTGAGACCAACAACATCATACTAACTGTAAAGGTAATTTTTTTTTTAGACATTAGAGGTTTTGTGTATGTGAGGGAACTGCTTTTGCTTCATGATGGAAATGTTAATACCCAGTTCTAGGTGAATAGTATCTTCCATTAGACTAATCTCCCATTCACCCATTGGTTAGTCGGGGTACACTAGAGAAATAAATCCAGGGCAACTCATATAAGAGCTTTATATACAAGAGCAGTTAAATATTAAGAAAACACCCCAGCCCAGACAAGATCAAGTCCATAAGTCTGATATTAGTCCATATTTCCTATAGCAATCTATAAAATCCTCTTCAGACTCATGAAATACATGCAATGACCCCGACTGCAGGATGATCATGGACCACTGGGTGGGAAGTCTTGTGGAGTCAGTGGTATTGTAAGCATCTCAGCACTGACAGGGGTCTCCATGTGGCTTCCCCAGGTCCAGGGCTCTAGCTGCATCAGGATAGGTCCATGTGGCTACTCCTCAGGGATGTCTCCCAGGAAGTGAGCAGAAAGTGTCTCCCACCTCAAAGGAGGAAAATAAAGGAATTCCCAGAATCCTCAGGGGAAGGCCACGCCCACACAGAGGCCTCATGGGCTATCACCTGATTGACAGGCTAGACTCCACCCCTTCACGCTTAATCCTCAAATTGACAAATGATTATATAACTACCACAGACCACCCATTGTCAATATGACACTTTCACACAACTCATTAGCCATATACAATTTTCAAATAAACAGTACTAAAATCATATCTGTACCTTACAGGATAAAACTAAAATGTATACAGTTCAATATGTGCCACCCTCATTTAAACATAACATTCTTAAGTGAACAAAACAAAAAATATCCTATGCCTAATAATTTCAGTTAAGTAACACCTACACCTTAATCTTATAATCCTATGAACATATTCTCCCCCACCTATGAGAGTTGTTAAGCCAGCCACTTCATGCCTTTATCTGACCCATTTGAGTATCCAATTTCTATACTGCCCACTTACATCAACCTCATCAGTGCTCTGAGGAGACAATCATATTCTTTGATGTGAAGAATCTTCATTCCAGTTGGAAACTAGTGAAATCAGCAACCAAAAGGAAAATAAAATTAGGTCAGGCCGTCCATAAAGTCAGCAGCAATGTGCACCTGTTCACAGGCTCAAAAATCTTCTCTTTATCTGGTGAGATTCTGGTCAACTCATTGTGGGCTGCCTCACTTAGGCTCACCAGCGAACCCATTGGTCGCCTCACCTTTACACCATGGGCTCATCACAAATTTTCAACAATCCTAGTCTCCTTGTGCTAGGTCATGAACTTCAGACCAGTCAATATGCTCTCATCTTCTCCTCTTTTTCCTGTAAACCAAGTCCATGTGTGTCAGTGGCCAGACCCAACCTGTCTCTTTCTCACTGCATTCCTCTCACTTCATGCAACAAACGGATCCTGGTATCACCTATAAGCATTTCAGCCTGCCCATAGGCTTCATTTAACATGGAGTCCTAGAGAGGAGTTTCCTTCATAGTTCCAGATTTTTTTCCAGCTTCTGACAAAAACCACTATTCAAAATACAAATATCCAAAGAGTTCCCTTTTTTTCTTAAATCTGTCAATAACAGCCCTTTAGGCAAGACTCTTCAAATACAAACATCTTGAGTGCTCCAAATCACTGGGTGGGGCTTATCTTTTCAGAGACTTCTTTGAAGGTGTGTCTTGAACCCATTTAAAGATCATATTTTAATGGCTCCAGGCAAGTGGGTTTACAAGCTCTCTATTTCCATACTTCCCAATAAACATATCTATCAATCATTATATCAATAAAAAGCAGAAGTCAGTATAAAAAAAAGTAGGATCAGATATTAAACTCAAGTCTTAAAACAGTCAAGTTTAATCCTTATTTAGCTTATTTAAATCTTTATCTAAACTATTCTATTGATACAAAAACATGGGATTGCACCTCTGAGAGCATCGTCTCAAGCCAGAGCCAGGCCTTCTGTCAGCCATTTTTACCTCAGTCAGCCATTTTCTCTAACCAGCATGGTCTCTGAGAAATTCAAATGGCAAATTCTATCTCTGAGCTCAAAATATATACTAACAACATTAATTTTGACCATTTCAAACAGGAATAACCAAATGTGAAACAAAACAACATAATCCATATTGTTTCGATAAAAAATCCCAGTAAACTGCATGGACATATCTCATTTCTGGGTAGCCAAAGAAGAAACACTACCATGAGGGAGAAGTCAAATAAACATCCACTTTCCATCACTATGATTTGTTTCTCTACTACCCCACTGCTGATTCCATAATGTGTTAATCCAGGAAGACTACAGAAACAAATACAGGGAGATTTATATGTATATAAGAAAGAGCTTTATATACAAGAGCAGTTGAATATTGAGAAAACATCCCAGCCCAATCTAGATCAAATCCATAAGTCCGATATTAGCCTATATGTTCTATACCAATCTATAAAGTCCTGTTCAGACTCACGAAACACATGAAATGATGCTGAATACTGGAAGATCACAGGCCAGTTGATTGGGAAGTCTTGTGGATCTAGTGGCATTGTAAGCATCTCAACCTTGGCAGGGGTCTCCATGTAGCTTCCCCAGGTCCAGAGCTCTAGCTGCATCATGATAGGTCCATGTGTGTTCTCCTCAGAGATGTCTCACAGGGAGTGAGCAAGAGAGTGTCTCCCGCCTCCAAGGAGGAAATACAGGAGTTCCCAGAATCCTCAGAAGAAGGCCATGCCCATACAGAAGCCTCATTAATCCTCAAACTGACAAATGATTACCACATCCATCAAGGTTATCAGAATTAACACTCAAATTTACCTTAGCAGGTAGATGTTCTCAGACCAAAATTGGCTGAAAAACCTACCTTACTTTCTGGCTTCACCTTTTTTATCAAAATTTTTATGATTGGTTAGTCCTTATGTGTGATAATTTACATATTTTAATAACAGCTTTAAATTGTTTTGAACAGGAAGCTTGGCCTACCGTTTTACAGAAACAGCTTAATAAATCTTCAATTTTTTCCAAACCAACATATCATTCATTTTAAGCTGGTTCTCTTATAAGCCATGTAATTAAGTATCATCTCTA